TATCTGTGTTGGTTAAGTCCCTGGCTGTCGTTTCTTCCTGCTCTTTCTTTTGGGGTGAATTCCTTTGTTTTATCATTTTGAAGGGAGAGAAGGAATTAATGAGGTAGAAAAATTAAAATAAATAAAAATTTAAAATCTTAAAATTAAAAAATTACACACACACACACACACAATAAATGATGCTAGATCCTAGGTGTGTTTTGGTCTGGATGTTGAAAGTGGCTTGATAGATTAGAGAAAAAAGGGGAGAAAAAGAAAAAAAAAAAGGAAATCGTTTGAAAATTTGAAAAAATGAATACACTGAAGTAGACTAAAATGAAATGATGGAAGTAAAATAGAATTTTAAAAGATTTACCCAAAAGTAAAAAGTATAGTAGAAAAAATATTTTAATAAAAATTGAAAATAAAAATGAATTTTTTCTCTTTCTGTAAGAAAAAGAGAGGAGAAAAAAAAAGAAAATTGAATAGTTGGGCTGGTTAACAGACTGAAATACTACTGAAATTACTTCATTTTCCCCTGGAAGTCAAACTATGAAGTGCTTTATAGTCCATAAACTAAGGCGGTGAGACTTGTGTTCTTGAAGAGTGAGGTTGGCCCCGTTGGATAGGGTTTAGTGTAATGGTTCCATTCTCCACTAGATGGCACTGCTAAGCCTACTGGGGGGGATTGTTGGTGCGTTCGTAGGTGCATGAGCGCATGCGTGGGAACGGTGAAAATGGAGTCACCCAGCTACCCAGTCTCTAGTACCGGAACTCTGTTCTCCCTGATCAGCAATCACGCACCCATTCTTCGTCTTCAGCTTCTGTCCACTGCCTGCTTCCACACTGTCCCTGACCAAACCCCAGGCAGTACCTCTCTCCCGAGTTTTGTCTCAGATGTGACTGTTTTCCCTGCCCCCCCCCCCCCTTCTGAGGGACTGGGGCTTTGACCCGTTCTGCCCCTCTGCTGAGGGTCTCACGGAGCAACGGCTGAAAGCTGGCTGCACCCAGGAACGTTTGTGGGACCGTGCTGCTGCCGATGCCTGGAGACTGCAGGCAGGTACCAGCCTGCCCCAGAAAAAGTTCGCAAGCAGCGTTTCAGGGATTATGGAAAATCACAACACATCTGGCACTAAGCTTCACCCCCAATGGCCTCGATCCAGCACCAGCGAATGTGGCCATTCTCTGGGGTGTGCTGGGCACAGGTGGCCTCACAGCCTCTACCAAATGTCCTCCCAGCAATGGAACTGCTTCTCCCCATGTGGCCCAAGAACCTTCCGGATCCCGCTCTGCTCCTGGAGATTTGCCCTTCTCACCAGGGCACCGCCAGGTATCAAGCTGTGGCGTTTCCGACTCTGCGCTCCCCATTTACGGTCGTAATGGAATTTAAGCCCTCTCCTTTCTCCCTTTTTAGTTTAGTCCCTGCGGCTGTTTCCAGTTTTCCCCTGTCTCTCCAGCTGCTTTTGGGGAGGGGTGCTTTTCCTATAATCTCCCCCCCCCATCTCCATCCTCTCTCCTGACGCAAAAGCAGCTCCCTGTCCTCCACTGCTTCTCTCTCCCCAAGTTCACCTCTCCGCCGTGTACCTGCTGAATTCTGTGGTTCACATTGTGCAGATTGTTGTGTTAATCCTCACATCAGTTTTCTAGGTGTGCAGGATGGTTTAGTGTTGGGCTGGCTGTATTTCATGGGTGCAAGACACACAAAAAACTTCCATGCTGTTCCACCATCTTGGGTCCTCTCCAGATTTTTTTTTTTTTTTTTTTAAGGCTTTGGTTTCTTTTAATTCCAGTTTAGTGAACATACAGTGTTAAAGGCTTTGGTTTCAAAGTACTCAATACAAAGGTTATACTGATACACTCTTACTAAAGATAAAAACAAAAGATTTTCAAGTTTTCCCTGCTCACTGCTGAATTTATTTTTAAAAAGGGGTGGGCGGGGGGGGGGGGGGGGGGGGGGGGTTGGGGTCTGTCTGTATCAGTCAGAAAAATCTGTGGCTGACTTACTGGCCAGCTCACCTTCAGCCATTGCCAGCCTCTTCTCCTTTGGCCACTTCTATTATAAAGGCTACTTGCTTTGTTTGCTTCTCACACACAATTCTGGAAGACAGGATAGAAGCACAAATGTGGTGAAAGCTTCTGGAAAAGCTTTTACTCTCCTGACAGAAAGGACAGATAAACGAGGAACTGCCCCTTCCCAGCTTTGGATGTAAACATACATTCTGGACCTGCAACAGCCATACTGTAGCATAAGGAAAAGGCCAAAAAACCCACTTGTTCTGACCAATACCAGCAACAGATGAAGAGTAGGGTTGCTAAGCAGCTATCTGGAGGAAAGTCTTTGGTAGAGCTTGACATCAATTTAAATATATTTAGAAACTATACGTGAGAAAATGTATTTAAATATGTTTAAAAATCACTTTCAAAAAATTTCTGCATCTCGGGGTTATAATGTAAATGAAGTTTTCCTATATAACCAGTTGAACTAAATTAACAGAGCAATCTGTATGCCTGTCAAAATGGTGATACCATGTTCAAAACCAATTACTCCTCACCTGCCCCGCATTGTCCTAACCATAGCTATTACTATCAATAGGGGTACAAAGACACATAAACCAACTGATAAATTATATATTACATGTTTATTAAGGGCACAACTTTTATGTAAAATTTACATTTTATGAAAAAATCAAAAATATTTACAAAATTGTGTAAGATAGATTTGCATTGTTCTAATTACAACTCAAAGTAGTAAATAACATTTCTTAAAAACTCACATTTGTTAGAGTTCTTTGTTTACAAATTCTTGGTTAAAGAGGCAGCTACAAAGTTTATCACTATACAGCAGCAAGAACCAGCTTGCTAAATACATTTCCCATTGAAAATCTACTGGTCTTTTTTACACCATTAGTGGATTTTTAAATGAAAAAAAAATCAATATAAACTCATATGGCTTCAAAATTGTAGCCTGCGCCTAATACAAATGTAGGTATCGACACTTGGCATGAAGACTGTGGTAATCAGAAAGTGCAGAAGTTTAACCATTTTACTAATCTGTACATGTTTTAGGTAATACTTGATTCGAAACCTGGTGAGTGTAACTGTGTCTGAAGTCCAGTAATAAAGTATTAACTGCCCACAGAAAGCAGTGTGATTGCAAAGCAGTTACATTTAAGATTCCAGTAAGGGATTGTAATTGGCATTTAAAAGAGCACAACATAAGAGTTAGAAATTCCCATTTTGCTATTTAGTAAAGATGAACATTTCAGCAAATTGTCTTAATATGCTGCTTTAGTCAAATCTAAATGTTGAATTGGGCTAATACTGAATATACTTAAAAAGCACATACTGTGTTCTATGTATTGCTAATAAGTAGATTTTCTGCTGTATTTAGTAGAACAAGATGTTACATAAATGTCTAGTAGTAGGGGTTTTAATGTTCTGTAAAGCTTAACAGAATAATTAGTGGTTTTATATAAATTATCATATATAACAATTTATCACTTCTACATAAAAGGCAGGACATTGGTATTTATAAATAAAATTCCCACTTGTAAATTATGAAACTGTCCAAAACATTTTAAGTCCTTCAATTAGGATTCCCTATAAAGTTAGGTTTTTTTACTATTTAATATTAGTAGTTCAAGAAATGCTTAACCCAATCCATCACTTCAAATCCTCTCCCAATTTCTAGCAGTTGGCAATTAACCAATAACATACAAATTGGTAACTGTCCCAATTGTTGAAATGAAAACAAACGGCAGTACTTCTCCAATGCCAAAACTAATCTTCTCTAAAATGTGTTCCTCGCGAAATACAAAACTCATGCCCCCAACACATTCATTAAATGTATAAATTTCCAATGATAAACAGAATGAAAGGAAGTGTCAAATTGAGGATTAAAATAGCAGTTACCAAGTTACCTTTAGTTTTTCATATTGGTTTTATGATTTACATACTTAGGTGGAATATCTGAAGGTAACTTTTCTTCCCCTGTAAACATAGGCGATTAGGTGTATTTCTCTTTCTATCGGCTACAGTGTATCACTAAAGAAGTGAGCCAGGATTTTTAGGTACAAATTAACCTTTAGTTACTCTGAATTCCCTTCCCAATTGAGGTCAAGATATTTACAAAACGGCAATTATCTTGTAAAAATGCTTGACCACTCTAACACTGAATAGAAGAGCCAGACTGTGAAGGGAAAAAAAGTGAGGCACATTAACGAACACAAACCTGGATAGGCACATTTCTGGCTTTTGTTATTGTTTTAAAAGGCACACATTATGTAATCCATATAAAAATAAATTAAATCTACAGCATTAATTCTTAAAAACAATCACAAATTCTATAAAGTTAACTAACTGCAGAAGTAAATTTCTCTGCTGTCTTTTGCAAGCTTATTTTAAAACACATTGCACTTGAGAATTAAAAAAATCATATAAAACACCATTTACACTTTATTAATGTTTCTATGAGATTCAAATTATACATTTTTTGTGTACACCTTGGACTCTGGTCTGATTACTTTATGGCACATAACTCAATTTGATTGAGTGTTCAGAATTAACGTTATCCAAAACTTAGAATTCACGTTCTGTCTGTCTCCATTCAATCTCAAGCTTAGGAAATTTCAAACCTATCTCTGACTCTAAAAATTTATGGAAAGCTGAATTATTTGGTGCTTGCTCTCCTGAAATTTTAGGTCTGATAATACACTATATAACTCAACATAGACATTGAAGACAATATGAAATTTCAGCCTAGGAAAACTTCATTTTACTGAGAATCTGTACAAATGTGCTTCTGGAATATTGCAGTTGATCATTAACAGCGATGAAAATCATTTCAGTGCTATTGCTTTTGATGACTCACTTCAAAAGTGCAATTTAATGTTTGTAATCAGTTCTCGAATGTGTGTACGTTCAAAGGACCTAATAGAAGCTAGAATCGTGTTGGAAAGAACAGACAATGCAGGATGTCAGACTTGTGCTTCTGTCTCGAGCCAACCCGTTTCCCAGGTCCATCAGCAATCTGCCAGGTATCGTCCTGAAAAACACCAAGCAGACCCATGCAATTACAATTTCAAATGAACTCAAAGGACGACATTTTCACTGTGGTTACAGACACAGAACCCTAGTTCCCATCTGCTGTTTATGATACATGAGAATCCGATCACAGGTGTCCATGTATACTGACCACAGTTATTCTCTCCCAGGTGTGTCTCTACCTGGCACTTTGTACCAAAGGTCGAAGAAGAAATTTTCCATGACTAGATGATAAACTGCTTGACAGTTTATAAAATAGTTGCTTAGTAGCACACTGTTAGAATGTTCCCATGTACACTAAAAACAAAATCTCTCAACTTACCAGTGGCAAACCGCTTCTTTACTAAGGAAAGCCTATAGCCAGTGCCTACAAGTTCAATATCTACTCCCGAAAGGGTACTTCCCTCGCTGAGGAACTGCACTGCAAGTGTTGTGGGTTTACTAGGTCCTTCTGAAAGATCAAATTTTGCTCTGAGGGACCCAGAACCTACAAGGAAAAGAATAAAGAACTTACCCAGGGCAACATAAAATTAACAGAAAAAACAAATAAGATAAACTATGTTCTATGCCAAATGCATAAAATGTATATAGTAAACACATCAATGTCCTGTGTCCAAATCAGACTTGATTCAAAGAATCTGAATTAAGTCGTCTTTTTTTAATTGATTTTTTTAATGTTTGTTTATTTTTGAGAGAGACAGAGGATGAGTGGGGAGGGGCAGGAGAGAGGGAGACGGAATCCAAAGCAGGCTCCAGGTTCTGAGTTGTCAGCATAGAGCCCAATGTAGGACTCAATCTCACCAACTGTAAGATCATGACCTGAGCCAAAGTGGGATGCTTAACTGAGCCACCTAGGCACCAGTGAATTAAAAGTACTCTTAATCCTTGCTTTTCTTTGACTTAAAACACCCCTGTAGATCTGTATTGAGATTCAACATGATACAGACACATGTTGAAGTAAAAAAAAAAAAAAAGTCAATGTGGGCAGTTCAGAGGAAAGCGCTTAGAGGAGTAGTGCGAGTAGGAATAAAGTCCAAAAACAATGATGACAGTCAACTACCATATTACAGGGATAGGAGAAGTAAAGAAGGAAAGACAGCTAAGATTAGGAAAGCTGTATCAATATTATTATTTTCTATTCCCCTTTTTTTTTTTTTTAATTTTTTTTTCAACATTTTTATTTATTTTTGGGACAGAGAGAGACAGAGCATGAACGGGGGAGGGGCAGAGAGAGAGGGAGACACAGAATCAGAAACAGGCTCCAGGCTCCGAGCCATCAGCCCAGAGCCCGACGCGGGGCTCGAACTCACGGTCCGTGAGATCGTGACCTGGCTGAAGCCGGACGCTTAACCGACTGCGCCACCCAGGCGCCCCTCTATTCCCCTTCTTAAAATTTAACTTGCCTATCATGCCAAATACAGCTGACCTTTGAGCAACATGGGTTTGAACTCTGTGGGTTCACTTAAACAGAGACTTTTTTCATTCGGTGCAGTGCTCTTAAGTGTATTTTCTGTCTTTTCTGATTTTATTTCCTTTTATCTAGCTTATTTTAACAGTACAGTACATAACACATGAAACCTACAAAATACCTGTTCATTGACTGTTTATGTTACCGGTAGAGCTTCTGGGTAACAGTAGGCTGTTAGTAATTAAGTTTGGGGGGGGGGCAAAGTTATACATGGATTTTTGACTACACAGGTCCACCAGGGTGAGTGGTGTGCGGGGGTTTGGCACTTCTAACCCCTGCATTGTTCAAGGGTCAACTAGATATTTGAGATGTCTTCTTTTCAGTCTAACCATTTATTCTACATACCTCAGTCTAACAGTATGCCAGAAACTGTAAAGCAAAAAATTGTGATGAATATGATAAATGCTCCAAAGGTGCTCTGAATTGCTATGGGCACAAAAGCACATAAAATGATGGTGGAGAGGACAGTGTGAATTGCAGGCAGGGGTAACTACAGGTAGAGAGGGGAGAGAATACAGTGCCTTTAAGGGAACTGCATGCGTATCAGAAAACCTAGAGGATAGGATACAAGAGGGGCAGAAGACTAGAATGGTAGGAAGGAACAAGCTCCAAATATCTTTACATGCCACGATAAAAAATAATCACAGGAAGTCACTAAAGATAAAGAAGACAAAAACAATTCAGATTAGGGTCTTAAAAGGGGACAGAGGTACAAGGTGCCAGGTAGGGAAACCAACTGAAAGTCAATAAAATAGTGTAGGATTCTAGGTGACAGTTGAAGTGGATCTCAATCAGGCTAAGGGAAAGGAAAGAAGAAAATGCATTTGAAAAATATTTCAGAGTTGGAATCGAGAGGGGGAAAGGCGGAGGAGTCTCAGAGTGTGCCCAGGTTTCCAGTCAAGGAAAACAGACAACCGCTAGGTAGCAGGAGCAATATTCTAGGATACACAGAAGTAGAACAGCACAGCATAACCCTGATCCATCCTGCACCACTGTGCCTCATGGCACAGATCGGCTGGGAGGATGAAATGCTGCCTAATTCTTAACCACCGTCCAAGCCCAAGTCCTCCTTAGACTTGCACAATTCTCTTGATAGGCAATTCAATTCTGTGCAAGTTCTACAGGCCAAGAGCAGCCACCTTGGCAAATCTTAAACTTGAAAATTATTTCCTGTCCCTCTTCTGGGCATAAAGCCAGAGCAGAAACAATTTCTATTGTACAGTATCCTAATTTGCACATTTCTTTTTAAAGGTTAACCAAATCAGAACATTTATAGTATTTTTCCATTTCCTCACATAGATATCCTGATTCCTGAACAGCAGAGGAAAAGTATTCATCTATCTGATTAGAAAATTTGTGCCCTGTTTTTGAGGAAACAATTTCCCTTATTAGTACTTACAATAGTATAGTTTCATTAAGAAGGGGGAAATATGTATTCTCATTTTCCTGCTAGCTGGTTACGTAAGCCCTCAATTCAAACAGGATTTCTGGTTTACTTCCAGATTTAACTAGGAATTTCAGTTTTGTCCCCCCAGAAGCGATACAGCTCAAGCAGAAGTCAGCACCTCTGGCACATGAAAACAGACAACAAAGGAACTGTAGATCAGCTTGGTTATTTCACCAAATAGGTGGTTCTCTAGTAAAAGAGTGATTCAGCATGACATGTATAAATAGCCACTATAGATATATTCCTGCTACTTGATACAGAAATACATAGGAGAAAAACCAGGGATATGATTTATGCTTTGATCACATTATGCTTAAAGTGTTCAAAGAGAAAAAGCTAAGCAAAATTTGAAAAGCTAAAAAAAAAAAAAAGTCCTACTTAGTAATAGGAAAAGTTATTGGAGGTTAAGTAAGCATCCAAAAAAGAGCAAGAGAATTCTCTTATTTTTTTTTAAATTTTTTTTAATGTTTATTTTTGACAGAGAGAGAGAGAGAAAAAGCATGAGCGGGGGAGGGGCAGAGAGCGAGGGAGACACAGAATCCGAAGCAGGCTCCAGGCTCTGAGCTGTCAGCACAGAGTCCGATGCGGGGCTCAAACTCAGACTGCGAGATCATAACCTGAGCTGAAGTCAGACGCTCAACCGACTGAGCACCCCAGGTGCCCCAGGAGAATTCTCTTAAGAGAAAATAGGAATAATTAATGTTAAAGACTTGACTGTCCTGGAAATTACATTCTAAACTGAGTTAGGGAAGACAAGACAGAGACCAGCCAACAGAGATTTTTCCTATGCCTTGTGAGCACAAACAGATACAGACTTGGTGGGAGTAAGCAATTAACTTGTTTCTTCTTAAAATAATTAGCAGAGAAGTAAAGGCTGTTGATGGTTAGTTTTACTAAGGAGAAATGACCAGGAAAAGTTCTCTTGGAAAGTGAAGTAGGCAAACAAAGGGGCTTTTGAAAGCCTGCAAGCTTCTACATGATTTCTGGGAGGACAGGAGGACCCCAGGAACAGAATGAGCTAAATGGTGTATTATTAAATCAGTTTCAGTTATCAGGTCACTTGAAAATACCAAATAATATTCTCATGTGAATGTATGCATTTACATAGTATTTATAAAGTTAGAGCAAAACAAATCATTTTTCTTACAGAGAAAGCATATTGACTCTAGAGGGGAAAAATGGGTTCTGAATGTCAACTGGTCCACTCTTATTTAAGGTATTAACTTCCATCTAGTGGTCAATTCTAGAACTGAAGGCATGAAAATCTAGGAAAAAACTGTCCATAAAAATGCCTCAAAAATCAATTTTCATGGACACTGAATTACAAACAAAAAGGCATACACACACACTTACCTCCATTTTCTGATTTTTCTGAAATACCAGACAGTTTCCAAAAGGCTTTCATTTGTTCTGCATTCCTATAAGAACAAATATCTTCTGATTAAGTGTCTAGTATAGGGGCTTAAAAATGGATGGGCTGTCAATAAATGAATACATTTTAAGTATTTTACCAAAACAACTATAGGGCTAAATTTACTTTCACTAGTATCACCAGGTGATAATGTGTTTACGATGTAAGTAAACATAATGCTATATCTTAATGGAAGTTTACTAAATTACATAATTCTTCTAGTCAGAAAAAGGAACACTGAAAATATATGTGGTTCAGTACCTTCATTACTGAAGGAAAACAAACTTTTATTAAACAGTGAAGAATCTAGAGTGTTAGTCTATACTAATTCAGGGAACAAGAGAGGTAGTTAAGAGATGAGAATTCCTAAACTATTAAGACAGGTGTTCTTTTTTTTTTTTTTTCAACGTTTATTTTTTTTTTTTATTTTTGGGACAGAGAGAGACAGAGCATGAACGGGGGAGGGGCAGAGAGAGAGGGAGACACAGAATCGGAAACAGGCTCCAGGCTCTGAGCCATCAGCCCAGAGCCTGACGCGGGGCTCGAACTCACGGACCGCGAGATCGTGACCTGGCTGAAGTCGGACGCTTAACCGACTGTGCCACCCAGGCGCCCCAAGACAGGTGTTCTTACAGAGATGATAGATGCTATATTTACCCCTCTAAAATAATAAGTATTATTTTTTAGAAAAATAAAGTTGATGGAGGTTAAGTGATTTACCTAAAGGTAAAGTTGTACTGAGTCATTCAAGCCTGGGTGGTGAACGCAAACTTACTTTTGGATTGAGGCTATTGTGATTTGACTAGTAAGATGAACAGCATCTTTTACACCACAGTTATTATGGTAAAATGCACGAATACTTTTCAAGCTTACAACTTTGAAAATGGGTTCTACGAGTTGGAGTTTACAGCAAAATTTAGCAGGAATTCAGAAAACTCAAATTTACCATATTGCAGGGGGAAGGGACTGCATATTCGTGACTCCTCCATCCACTGGTACCACCACCTGTATGTTTGAAAGCACGCTCGGTGCCACCATAGCTTCTGGGTTGTACTTATAATCCACTCTAAGATCTGTGGTGCCAGCACTACACTTCCAATATGTTGCAAGATTTAGAGGAGTGGACTGAATACCATTTGATGATACCTTTAAAGAGAAAAAGAAAAAAGTTAGTTTTTGCCCAAAAAGTAAACAAGTCATGCTGAAGACATGTATGCTTGAACACAAGAGTTCTCAGAATCAAAAATAATGATGGAAATATCGTTAGGCAGAAGAAAGCAGGCTTATCTCCGAGGAGTAAGAGCCAGTCTCACAGTGTGGATCTAGGACTACCCACATCAAAATGTCCATGACAGTTGTGCAAAATACACATTCCTATAGGTCCAAATGCAGAAAATCTGACTCAACTGCTTAGGTGCTAGGTCCAGAAAGAAATAGGTCATCAGGTGATTCTTCTTTATGCATGTTAACTTAAGAATCCCTTTCAACATCCAACACAGAATTCAAGTCTAAGATTCCTTACGAATTAAAAGAATTTAAATTAAAAAAAAAAAAAAGGATAAGTCACCAGGCAATACTGCAAGTCTGGAATTAGAATACTTCCGTACTTCCAAGTGTTTAATTTTAATCACATGACCCCTAGTAAATGGTGCAATTCCTTCCCATTCTTTAGATCCTTGCTCAAGTTAACTCCTTTTTAATGAGACCTACCCTGATCACCCTGTTTAAATGTACACTAACATTGCATTTCCAGTTTTCCTTATTGTTTAACCAACTGAGCCACCCAGGAACCCCTCAGTTTTCCTTATTGTGAACACTATGCCTTTTTTCGAGATAACAAAACATACATACATACTACCTCTCATGCTATTCCTGGCAATTAGCAAGCACTGAATAATAAATGTTTACTGAATTAAGAATAATGAATACCCGGAATAAACTCTAAGCTTACTTAAGTCGCACCACTTTCTATTCCTTATTTATTTCCCAAAAACGTAAGCCATATTTATACAATTACTCTATTAAAATTTCACATAATACATTAAGTATATGAAGTAGGAAATTTATCCCTTAGCATTCTTACTCCCCACTGTTAACACTGTAGGCACGCATGCACAGATCTCATTATTTCTTTTTTTTTTAAATTTTTTTTTAACGTTTATTTTTGAGACAGAGAGAGACAGAGCATGAACGGGGGAGGGTCAGAGAGAGAGGGAGACACAGAATCCGAAACAGGCTCCAGGCTCTGAGCAGTCAGCACAGAGCCTGACGCGGGGCTTGAACTCACAGACCGCGAGATCATGACCTGAGCCGAAGTCGGACGCTTAACCGACTGAGCCACCCAGGCGCCCCTAATTATTTCTAATGGCTGTAGTAATTCATTTAATCATGGTCTTCTATAGATGTGTGCTCACATGGTTTCCATACAGTGCTGCAGTGAAAATCCTTTGCACCTTCTTTTTTTCCTCCCATGTGTGCTATTTTTGACAAACTGATTTCTTGAAGTGGAATTAAAGGTTTGACTGTTCAGCAGTTTAATCCAACAGCTATTCAACAATCTAACAGAACTGCTTTCTAAGAAGTTCGATTAATTTGTATGCCTACTAACAAGTGGTCACAGCTCTCTTAATACAGTCTTTCCCATTTTTGTTAATCTGATGGGCTAAAACTGCTATCTCATTGTCACCTTAGTATCCACTGCTCTGATTACTATAGACATGAAACATCTTTCATAAGTTACCTATCTCTTGAGTTAACCATCTTTTATTTAAAAGAGCTCTTCAGAGTAAGCCTTTTGGTCGGTCTTATTATATTATGAAAACTTTTCCCTCAGATTAGATACCAATTCTGTTTAAGACTTTGTTTTAACAAAGAATTTATACACATTTATTTATTGTCAAATATCCCTCTCATACCATGGCTTCTGGGTTCTGTATTACACTTAAAAAGGTCTTGACACTTCAAGATCAAAATATGTAAAAACATATACATATTAAAAATATACATATATACACACACTTGCACACTTTATATTCATCCATGACTTTACCCCATTAAAACTAAAACATTACTCCACATTACCATTTAAAACATTTTTATTCCAAGCTTTATTCTTCCGGAAAACTTGAAAATGACTGTCTAAACACCAATATATACACACTTCCACTGGATTTCTGATCAGGGTCTCATTAAATTTCTAAGTTAATTTAGAAACACCTAAGCTTTTTACAATATGACTCTTCATCTGAATAAAGTATACCTTTATAACTATATTCAACTCATTAGAAATAGTGTTAGGTTTCTTCCTAGTTTTTATTATGTGTTCATTGTGATTACAAGAAAGGATAGTTTAACATGTTTTTTTAATTTTATTGCGGTATAATTGACATGAGTTTCAGGTGGACTACATAAAGGTTCAATATTTTATATACTGCAAAATAATCACAACTACTTTTTCTCGTGATGAGGATTGAGATTTACTCTTTTAGCACCTCTGAAATATGCAATATGGTTTTACTAACCTTAGTCATGATGCTCTATCTTCCATCCTCATGACTTATTACTGGAAGTTTATACTTTTGAATCCTTTCACCCACTTTGTCTATCTCCCTCCAAACCCTATATCTGGAAACAGTATGTTCTCTGTTGCCTCTGAGCTTGGCATTTTGTTTTTTAGATTCCACATAGAAGTGGAATTATACGGTATTTCTCTTTCACTGTCTTAGTTCACTTAGCATGATGGAATTGCTGCCTCCTCTTCTATTTTTTTTTTTTTTTT